AGTATCCATACTCCTAATGTTCAATAATATACGCGATGATAATATTTCAACAGCGATATAAACATGGTACAATGATACATGTTACAAGGCCTTTATTACTAGTATTGACAGTACAGAATGTCACTTATATTTAGTTAGAAAGAACATATAAAATTGGTGCCGTGATGCGTGCTCCGTTATCTTCGAAGTGTGGAGTAATCACGAGCAGTAGGGAGATCACAAGAGTTCACTCTCAATGTACATGAACTATAAAAGAATTATAGTGTACCACTTCCTAGTTGATCATATTGACATTCTATATGAGGCTACTGTAACCTTGACTCAACAAATGAAAGGTACGTCACGGTATATATCTAAACCGATAAAAGCATCCATCCAAATCCTATAGTGTCACCGCCTCGCATGTAAAGTAAAAAAGAACTAAAAATGACAACTATGATGATAGCTACAGTCACCGAACATCCCCCTGGTCTTCATATATTGTGAATATGATGAAGTTCTGCTTAACAGCTTTATAATCGCGCTCTCTCTCGCTCTCTTTATGCATCAAGTAGCCTCTGATGGAGTGCAATAAATCTCTCTCTCAATTCTATAACACATAGTATTAGTCAGGAACTTTCTTTGCGCCTTCAACAAGAAATGACATGTTGTAAAAAAGTCTAAAGAACGGATAACGTTATACTCACAACCAGTCAAAATTAATATTGATTATACTTAATGCAACACTATTATTAATTATCATTTCTCTTCACTCTCAAGAACTCGATAGAACGACACCAACAGAAACGAAAAGTTAAAAAACAAAAATGCTAAATAAACAGATTAAGGAGAGAAATAATATAAGAACCTGCTGCTCGCCATGGTCATACAGAAATCTGCAAGGTTAGATCACCTGATAAAAAAAGCTAAGAAATAGTAGATAAGCCAAATTTGTGGACTACGAAAAACACTTGTACACACATGACTATGTTTGTTATGCGTCGTATGCACCATCAAGCCTCCATATTATCCGCTAATACATTATCAACACAAAAATAAAATAATACCATTAAATCCTATAATTAAGGTAAAACAACATGCTACAAGAAATCTTGAGAACTATTCTTTATTGACCAATGTTGATAAACAAATATGAAGAAATTACTATAACATACATGTATTTATGGATTGCATATGTGACTTAACTAATGCATACATGTTAAACACTGATAAGAAATGACAAAAATCAGTTATGTAAAATAATACATTAATTCTTAACACTAAAACTTTGTGCACGATACAAACAAAACTGTGGCCATACATCATACACGCTAAGTAGGAGTTCATACATGTGAGGAAGAAAGCCTATACCCAGTGCTACAGGAAGCTCTGGTATCAATAACAAAGGCCCGATCCTCTCTCACTCTAATAGACATGATGACTACGGCAACAGCGCAGCCCTAGCAATCTCCAATCCAACATTAAAGCACTAGAACAGTCACAGCTCAAACGACTACAGTACCTATGACACCCAGCTCACCTAAGATCCACTCGTATACTCAAATACTTTTTCACCATGAAAGTACATCATCTCCACCAAAGCTGATACTACAATCACGTACTGTTAGACAACAGAAAAACAAAATAGCAGCGATGAAGCACCAAACAAGTCCAACATACAGATAGCGACACAATTTTTAGATGTTATTCATCTTTGTTTTTCACAGTGATTCTCTAAAGACCTCGTCTATAACAGGTACGTTGTAAGACACCAACAAGTTATAGTTATTACAATATCGATCAGAAAACGTACTCCATAAGGATACACAACCTGCTATTCCAGGATCGCACTCTCAATATACATAAAGGAAAAACATTGCCTCTCTTTACTGTATGCACACAAAGAACTTTAAACAATAATAAAAAGCTAATAGATACAATACAATCCAATTATTTAGATACAAAAACAAACTAAATAAACAAACCTCAAACTCCATAACTACTCATTATTGCAAATAACGAGAATAATAAAATTACTCACGGCATACACATTAAACAGACTACAAGAAGATTCACGAACTAAGCAGCGTAGTGAACACATTGATGTAATACATAAGTGTACTAAAGAGCAAGCTCTCAACATAATAAACACGGTGAGTCGCTAGCGAAGAAAATGAACGTTACCCGAGACTCTCTGAAAGAAAGAATTCGATATACAACAGAAGAACACTACATGAACAAATGCATAAGAAACTCGTTTTTCTGATTACTCGATAACAAAAGTGAATACCGAAAACTCAAAGTAGTAGTAAAACAATGAATCACTCTACAACTTCGCGATTGCGACATAGTATCATCATAAAGTTTCACATACTTGCTCACTTAGCGCAGAGATTGAATGATACTTCAAGTGAGCTGGAGAAGAGCGAGTAAATAAATGTAAAAATTAAGGCGAAACAAACATAAACCATTATTATATAATACATACAAAACAAAACGCACAATGTAATTCAACAACAAAAAGCTACAATTTCTATACAAAGACTGGAATCTAACTATACACATAGTCTAATAGAGATAGATCTGCGCATAGCAAACAGTACAAAATAAGAAATTTTACTCAATACTCCAGATATAAAACTATTAATTTGAGACATATAATAGGTTTATGAAAATCACTTTCTTCCGAAAATAATATAGATGTCTTGGCAGATAGATTTGAAAAGCAACACGCATAACCTATTGAGGCCATAACTTAACTATGTTAATATTATAACTTATTATTAAACGAAATACACTGAAAACGCTCTCCAATCAATAATGATACTAATATAAATAGCCCACATATTATAGAGTAAAAAAAAAGAGTCTCTCCATAAAACTACTTTTCCTAATACGAACAGATCAAAGAAGTTTCATTTAACAAACTAAAAATATAATGTATACACACATAAACACATAAGGTAAAATAAAAAAGATATTACAGATACATCACATTACTCTACAGGTAGGTTCCACGTAAATAAGATCACGAAGAAGCGTGCAAGAGAAAAGATAAACGTCACAACCGGTTCAGCTCATCTCAAAGTAGAAATACAGACAGACACGCGCTCACGCATAAAAACAATAACACCGAAGACATTAGAAGTAAAACCCACCAAAAAAACAAGATAGCTAAGCTGGCAACTATATGTAAATCTAAGCGAAGACAACAGCTTTCCTAAACCAAAGCTGATACTTGATTCCTCACACCATATATGCAATATATGTTAGCAAAAGGAAAAAGAACTACATATTAATATAAAACAACATAGATAAAGATTCTTGTATATTCAGTATATATTTGGATTTTATACAATATTATGTTTAGAGGACATTATTCACATAAGACATGTCAACAGAGTGGTACTACGACAGCTTTCCCTCTTCTTTGCAGTCTCCTACCTCAATAGAAATACATTCGAACAACGAAATTTTTTAATATCTACAAACAACTCACAAATAACATATAACAGTGAAGACTATGATAGTAATCTCACACCGTGAGACATCAGTCTCAGATGTACTAGATGTTACACACTACTATGAATATTATCTAAGTAAGGCAAGTTTCGGTGACCTCCTTAAATCTCATTAAAAGGCGAAGTGGGAGTTGAAACCGATTCAACAGTAAGGCATATTAGACGACAGCACTCAATAGCGGAGATCACACTGTCTCAGACAATACACTGTTACTAACACTCTAACTTGGATTTATCTATACAGAATATATGGTTACATCACTTTCTCCAACTTAGAAAACACTCCTAACTTAATCGCTGGGATATCTTAGTTTTTACAAATCACAACAACACAAACTCTCTAAGAACCAGTCAAAGCACGCTGATCCACAACTGTACGCTATCTCGTAGACTATCACTCAATAATCTCACATAAGAACACAACCACAACTCACGACCACACCAGCTAACACGACACACTCAAAACAATAGAACCAAAAAAATATCCACTCTATCTCTCTCCATGACTAACAGATAGCATATAATAAATCAAAAATGGGCTAACATATCATAGAACCTTAAAATTACAAAAAAATATAATTGATTTACAAACCAGTTCATCTAACAATAAAAATAATAATTTACCAAATACAATACGTAATAAATATAAAACCAACTACACACACATGCAATCTCTATATATTATACCTAAAATATCAACTCATAATTTTAACTAAATATATACTGTAAACAAAAAAAAGTCTAATGGGAAGTCATTTCTTTATAGATTTATATTAATTTTACTTAGTTATACACAATGATAGACTACAGATAGCAAACTGTGTGTTTCCTTGCCACCGTCATATTCAACAAATAGCTACTGGAACATGATAATAGTGTATGAACAAATTATAGTTCATTTATGTACTACAAAAGTTTGATTATCATGAGAATTATAGACAACCTGACACGAATCTTAGACTCAGACTTAACGGGAAACCACTAAAAAGTAAATATCATAAAATACAAGGTAAATATCAATAAAGCATCACAGTAAATCATATCATAATAGAACCACTACATAATAATCATATCAATTATTCATGAAGGAAAATGTCATAATATAGGGTAAATGTCATAATATACATGGTAAATATCATAAAATACATTTTAGATATCATAAAATGCAAGGTAAGTTATCAAAACATACAAGGTAAATGTCATAATATAAAAGATTAATATCATAAAACAACGTAAATATCTTAAAATACAAGATAAGTATACATGAACAAGGCATATATCATAAATATGTTATTAGTTTCTAATCAACATAAATTAACATGTATATCATAAATAAAGGGTAAATGTATATAACTTATAGTGATATATAAGATAGATTCAAATTATAACACATTATATACAATTCATACATCATAAAATGTGAGAGAATTCCATATCTTAAAAGTTACCATACAAAACTCTGTTAAGGGTTATGAAATTGTTTATTTTAATTTGAAGCCAACAGTTATACAGACAGTTCCACCAATAATGGTCATGTTTGCCAAGTACCCGAAGGTAGCAGATTATGACCTCTCCTCCATCAAGGTTGCAGTTTGTGGAGCTGCTCCACTTAGTAAAGAGATAGAGGACATGGTGAAGGAGAAGCTTAAAATACCATGTGTTCATCAAGGTAACATGTAAAATCAAAAATTCAAAAATTTTGCTAAAACAAAATGACTCCAAGTTATTATACAATAATAATAGAATACTGTATAGGTCCAATGCCCAGTAAATTGTATCCTTCCGTAGCTTCACTTCTGAAGTGGCATGAATACAAAAATTATCCTCAAATTGTAGCTTATAGCACAGATGGCAGCGGAACTACCTACTTATGGGTGACTTAAGATTTTGGTTTATGTAGTGCTCCGACCAATCAATTACACTACATGAGGAAGGTTTTTTTGCCGAGGGGTTAAGGTTTTTTTTCTTTTTACCACTGCCCTCTCACCAATGAGGTTTGAGCCTAGTAAGGGACAGCTCGCTTGCAGAAGTTTATGTTCTACTCAGGTGCCTGCTTGTCCTACGATTAATACATGGAGGGACAAGTAAGGTCCTTCTCCACCAGTAAAGCTGGAAAGTTGCCATATGACCTTTAAAAGCCATGGTGTGACAGAAAATCCGACAAACATACAAACATAATTATACATAAGTAAATACATGTTTGTGAATGTTTTACTTAATTAAAGTCTTTGCTTATTTGTAGGATATGGTATGACAGAAATTGGTGTATCACATATAAATGGTAAGACAGAATTTAAACATAAATCTGTGGGCAAACGTCATTCACTTGTACAGATGAAGGTAAGTAGTCATAAAATAGTAGACTTCAACATTACTAATAGCTTGTTTCTTGTATAATTACATCTTTTTTGTTTTTTCATATTACATCGTAAAAATGTCAATTATTTTAACATTACTTTTTAAGTTATCGTTATTTTATTATTTTTTTTCCCAAAATTTTATCTAATAGCATTTAATCTTTTTAGCTCATCAGAGCACAATGGCATGAATATAGAACAACAAATTACAATCAGAATAAATTGGCAATATAGACAGACTACACATATATTTAATACCATTTTAACATATACTTACATGAACATGAAGGGGTTTGGTCCATATGACATGCCTCTCAACGAAGGGATCATGCTTTTGAGCTCTACTTGTGTCACAACCATGTTACTTCCATCATTTTGAAATCAGTGCTGGTTACTTTCATGATTAATATATAAACAAATTGCAAGAACTTGTTTCACTTTTAGCTATTCGAAGGTGTCAGAACTGTTGTTTCTACTTATTTTTCATGTAAGGAATTAGGAAAGTTGAAGTAACTGTACTTTATAGCTTTTTATATATAAATCTTTGTTTATCATGAAATAGAATATCAACAAAAACATGTTTTTATATCAAAAGTGTTGGGAATGAAATAAAACCACTTTGATAACTTTACATCCTTCTTTTTCTTTGGAAGGTCACTATGAGAATACAGTTGCAATATTTTGTGAAGTCAAATGGAAATCTAAAATTTTGTATTCTTCATAAAAGGCTATGTTGACTGTGATGTAATGGGAAAAGAATATTGGTGTTCAGGGAACAAAATATTTATGAAATGAATTGAAAGATCTGAAAAGGAGAAATAAGTAACAATCACATATAGATCAAAAATCTAAACCCATATTCATTCTGTCTGCTACTTGGAGATTTTGGAATATGCAGTATCTCTCTGTCCCATAATAACAGATTAACCCATAACCTGCTATATTTCTATAATGGATCTGTTCAGAACAGTCCATTCCAAGTTCAAGGGATTTCAATATCAAAACAAAAAAATTGAGCTGCCAACAGTACAGAGCCTGGTCAGACTGCACGGATGTGCAGGCTGGCCGGGCTCTATACTGGTGGCAAAGGCTGATCACTTTTGGTTCCAGCCGGTTAAGGGTTAAGAGACCTGACTCACGTCACTGTACCTTAAAGATCCTGTAACACTATTTTTTCATGGTTTTATTTCATAAATATGATGCTCAAATTAAGATTTGTGTGATTGATTGATTGATTTTCTTTAGACCGGGCGGTCAAGGATATTGTAAATGTATTTTGTTCCTTATACAGATAGTTAATGTAGACACTGGTAAACCATGTGGTGTCAATGAGGAAGGGGAGATTTGGATTAAAGGACCTCACATGTGTCTTGGCTATCTTAACAACGAAGAAGAAACTAAAAACTTCTTCACTGAAGATGGCTGGGCAAAGACAGGTATGGTTACAGATTTGTTGTACATTTTATACATATGTTTACATCAGTTCATGCAATAATGATAATGAGCACTGTCATTATTTGTGGTGTTTATAACTTTAAAATAACACCTGCTCAGTAGAGAGAGCATAGGATTTCTTAATGCAGGTATACCATGTTCCAATCCTTTGGCAAGGCAAAATTTCACTGTGACAATTAGTCTCTCACCACTTATTTAGAAATCATGTGCGATAAGTTAAGTGAGTCACTTGCAGAGAAATTGGTATTTACAGATACTGGTTAGTTATCCAGGAAATCAGATGAGGCATAAAAACCACTGTGGTTGCTTAATATTTGTATTTTATTTTCTGAAGACCTTGTTATATAAGTAACAGACAGTTCTAAATTTAAAACAATCCATTACAGAATACAACAGGCTAAGGTTTAATTTGTCATCTTCATGCAGTTATAGATTAACTCCTTATTAAATTTAATAGGAGTTAACCAGTTACTGCACTAAGGTGACAAAATACTGTTGACTTTTGTATAATTAGACATACAAACATATATAAAACATTATATTTATTTATATATTTTCACAATATAAACATTTTCAGGGATAAGAATAATTTTATATATGACAATTTCATGCAGGTGATATTGGTCGGGAAGATGAGGATGGTTTCCTGTTTGTTGTTGACAGACTGAAAGAACTAATAAAATATAAGGGTTACCAGGTGGCACCGGCCACACTAGAAGATATATTGTTACGTCACAATTCAGTGGCTGATGTGGGTGTAGTTGGGCTACCTGATGAGGAAGCTGGAGAACTACCCAGGGCATATGTTGTCAAGAAGGCAGGGAAAGAAGTTACTGAGGAGGAACTTGTTGATTTTGTCAATGGTAATGGTTCTGTTGTGTAATAAACTATGAATATAGCTGATCTTGTGAGCTAAGAAAATGTGTTACTTTGATGTAAAAAGTGTTTTTTACAACTTTTTCAAAAATATTTAATCATAGTAAGTTTATATACAAATGTGATTTGATTCGGGTAAACATCCTATGTTAAACCAGAACTGCAATACATACTTAAAGATGATATTCAATTGCTATTTAAACTACTGACCTTTAAGTCTGTTCTATTTTGCAGACAATATCCTTTCAAAAAATTAAATGAAAACTAATTTTTAAAGTAAGATAACAAACTCAGGCTAGGAAGCAAACATGTCAATGTTTATAATTATAGTAATCAAAACATTCTTTGAAATGGTTAACATACTTTTCCACAGCTGAAACAAACATCACTGGCACTCTATAAATAGCAATTGGGACGCTGTTTTGAAGAAGGCTTAACAGTGATATGATGCACTTTTCCAAGATAAAATTACTGTAATACTAAGTTTGAAACAACACGGAATTGTTTTCCAACAAAATAGTAAAAACTGACTGCCGCATTTAAATTTCTTATTAACCATAGATTGTTAGAAATTTTGAGCAAAACAAGTCGTTTATACAAATTTATTTAAATAGGCTCAAAGGTTGATTTTTTTGTTTGTAGGTCAAGTGGCGCCCCATATGAAGCTGAGAGGAGGTGTTGAGTTTGTAACAGAAATCCCACGGACTCTTTCAGGGAAAATTTTAAGAAAAACATTGAGGGAGAGAGCAAAAACATGGAAAGAACAAAAAGATGCAGCTTCTTGAATCTGTTATAGTCTACGATTTGTATGTATATATGTCAAAAACATTTATGAAGTACTTTCTGCAGATTTTAGTTTTCACAAGAAATATCTGTTAGAACTTTGACCCTAATGTAAGTTTATCTGAAAGTATAAACCATCAATATAGTGGATACAATTATACAAGTACATGTATTTTATTTAGTGGATAATAAAGTAGTACCATATATATTAATGTTTCATTCATACAATATGTTTGTTAAAACAAAACATGTTTACTGTGTATGATACTCCTAGGTAGTTTCACATTGTGTATGTAAAGAGATATATTTTAATAAATATAAAGACTTTTGAGTATTTTTGTTTTTTGTAAATTAGATAGCTATGACCTTGAACAATACAGTAAAAGTTGAGAAAATTGGATGCTAAGAAAATCCTAACTCTATAAATATCAGATGCTGTGAATGGTTCCAGATTTATCTCCTCTCTGAAACTATTGTATACTTCATTAACAATACCAGAATCTGTAAAAGCTGAATATCAGATCCATTTTGTACATAATATATCTCAGTGCATAAACAGCCATGTAAAATTTATACTATGTTGCTACAAGATGACTAAAGTTTGACTGATTGTTAAAGATGAAAGTCCTTTACAGGTAACACATGGAAAATAAATAAATCAGTGGATGTTTGTGGTTGCAGTTGTTTGTTTAGGTTTTACATTGTTATGGTCATATGTCGTATTTATAAAGATAAATACATGGTCAAGACTAGTGGATACTAAAGTAGAACCTCCTATTTTCTTTAAGCTATCAGGATACCTGCTTTAGTATGATTAAACTTCCCCTGCATATTAGAATCTATGTCAAAGTTTAAAAGGTAAAATGAAGTGATGTGCAATAGTGTGGTTTTTACCATATTATCTTGTGATCAACAACAAGAGGGACATGATGGTCATTCATCGCTCTCCTGAGCTGTATCACTAGAAAAGGTCAGTAATTCTGCTTTGAGAAGAATTTAGAAGTATTTTGAGCAATAGAAGTTTATGTAAATGACCCCTGAATGAAACCAATTTTGACCCCATGAACGTGATTTATATACATTTTGTAGGGGACCATAACGTATATGTTACATTTTTAATATCTAAGCTCTAGGCATTGCAGTTTCCGAGAAAAGGTTTTTAAGACAGTTCTTGCTACTATATTCAAGTCATATGTTAACTAAGTAACACCCAGGGCTGAACCATCCTTTCTAATTTGGTGAAAATCCACCAAATGGTTTATGAGGAGATGTTGAAAGAAATTGTGGACAATGAAGAACGTCGAGGATGGACAGCTTGCCATCATCAGAGCTGCATTACTGGTACTGGTACTGCAGTACGTACTGCAGTGATTTTGCAAGTACTGGTACTGGCACTGAATTACTCTTACAAAATTTTGCTACTACTGGTACTGGTACTGCATTACTGTCTTAAAAAGTGGTACTGCTACTGCATTACTAGGCAGTACTTTTTGTTTTTGATAAAAATAGCATCAATTTTTCTCATAAATTAAAGCTGTAAATTACATTATTTTATTTTTGTGAAAAAGTAAGGTATCATATCTATAGATAATTTGCTGCAATATTCAAATGTTAACATAGTATTCATCATTATGAAAAAATCACCAAAGACTAAGTAAAAATTAAATTGAGATAAACAGACTCATTTACTCTTTACCCCAAAATATCCATATTAAAATCTATTATTACTTTGTATTTACTAGTAAAAAAGCAAAATAATTACTAATTAATTGCTTCTATCCTAAATAATCCTATTTCAAGTGATATTGTTGGCACCATTTAAAATTGTTATTTACTTTGGTATAAATTGAACAGAGGTGTGAAAGGCAACAAAAGACTGTTGTGTTTTAAATGAAAGATGATTGCATTGTATTACAGTTGACTGGTTACTAAACAATAAGATATGACATGAATATAATTATGTTGTAAATATTGTTCGTAAAAAGTATGTTAAAACTATAAAGTTGTAAAAATGTCATGTTAACTTTCAAGTAAATTATGATTTTCTTTCTTTGCTTAAGTACTACACCCTTAGTACTGATGCAGCTCTGGCCATCATTAAAGTTCACCACCAAACCGTGTGGTCAGGTGAGGTATAAAAACTGGAAAAACAGACAGGAGGCATAATAAAGAGCAACAAAGTCATAAAATAATTGACTATTTTTAATAAATATATTTCAATAGTATAATTACAATAATAGAGTTGATATTACCCATATGATGTTCAGATAGTAATTATTGGTAAAATTAATGATTGTCAAAACAAAATCATTCTGTGCTTGTTATCATTTTTATGGTCCTATCGAAAATGGTAATACATGTGTAGAACAAAAGCATTTACCATATGTTAAAAGTGGTATTGCACAATAAATTTTACATAAATACATTTTGTAAATATAAATGTATGACTAACAGTTATCAAAATATGACATGCCTTGTATCACAGCTTTTATTCTATGTTTTACTATATAATAACCAAATCCATGGCCATAATTTAATTTCTGATTAGATTTTTTGAACACAGAAATAGCCTGAAATGTTTTTTTTTTTAAAAACAACTACCAGTCATATATATAAAGTGAGGATTATAGATTAAGCACAAAATCATTAACTTTATTTTTGTTTATTACTGTAATAACTGACCCAATAGACTAGCTAATAGAAACTGTTTCAATGAAAAACATAATTACCCAGTACTTTACAAAGTAAATAAAGTGTTCAAAATTGTGATAAATTTTCTCCAATATAATTAACATAATCTCAGAAATGCTAAAATTACCCTTGAACTAGTGAATGACCATTTCAGAACAGACAAAAAATTTACTCATTTTGGAAAAAAGTTGCTTGAATGCACATAAAATTTGTGCCAGAGAAAACTGTCAACTGTCTTTGGACAAAAAAATGTCTTCTGACAAGAAAATAAAAATTACTACAAAATTTATATGAATAAAAATTATCTAATGACTATTTTGCCACAGGTAAAAATGACATAATAAGGAAAGCAAATAATGCCCCTATAAATATATTCACTATCCACTGAGTTATAGCAGACCCTTTTTTCTGTGTAGGTTTCATGTGTCCAGTGTTTATATAGTGTTGTATAACCTTCGATATATCATTCTGTATAGTAGGACTGTACTCTAACTGGTCCCTGGCTTTCTTGATACTAAATGTATGTGTAACACCTGTCTTGTATACCTAAAATCATACAATTATTATCTGTATTTAAACATTCAGTCAACACTGTTCCGAGTTCATATGATAACTTTTAAGATTTACTTATATAAGTGTACATGTACTAAAGTGCTCACTTGTACATTATTTCAGGTAAAAGCAGGTACCTGAGTAGGAATATCCAGTCTGTAGCTAGCAGGGTAGCTGCCTCACATAAAACAATTCCCTGTTTAATGCCAATTTGTAGCACACATTGGTAATGGGCAACTTATCCAGTGGTAAGCTTCACAGTGAATATTAGGCAAGGGTAGACAATACTTGATACAGAAGCAGACAATTAAGCATTGTTGTTTTTTTTAGGATTTTAGTTGCTTTGTTATGCTGAGGCATATGACTAACAACCTTAGAAATATGGAAAATTAAATGATCCAGAGTACAGCAATTTTATCATGCTATGTGATGATAGCAACAGTTTACAGTATGGAAGAATAAAGTTTTATAAATAGAAACTTCTATATGATGACTCTCACCTCTGTTCGTGTAAGTAAAGGCTGGAAGTTGTACACATAGGAGATCAGGTAATGTAACCACTCGGTTAGAAATGCTGAAAAGGATAGACCACAAAATACAGATCTGCAAGTATAATGACTTGAATCATGAATTATTCTTGCTTAATTCATGAAACAACTTTTACCAACTCGAATCATAAAATTACTTGTTTATCATTTTGAGTCATGAAAAAACTTAATACCAACTTAAATCATAAAATGTAGTTAACTGAGAATAGAAATTTTGGCTATGTCAACTACTTTCAGAGCACTTGCTATTAACTCCATAACCAGCTGAATGGACTTGCACAGCTTCCCTTTTTTTAACTGTCTATTATCAATATAGGTGATATCAAGATGAAAATTTTAAGTTGGTTAACCAACTGTACAGAGCTGGGTCATACTGCAGGGTACCCAAGGTCTATATTAGTGACAAATGCTTATTTCTTTCAATTCTAGAAGGTTATAAGGTTTAAAATAAACCAAAAAGGAATGAAAACAATGCTTACCTACAAAATATATGAGAGAAATTGGGAGTCTTAAACTTGGCATAGGGTAACCTAGACCAGTTATCTGTAAAACAGAAATAAACATAATTAGAAGACCTTTAGAAAAAATCTATATATATAATTTTATAAAACACTTCTCAAAGAATGGTTTATCAAATATCAGTAAAATTAGGGCACATTCACAAAAGAAAGCTGATAAAATGTTCTATGTTTTTAAAAGTTGTTTGTTTATATGCCTACATGTAGGTTAATGAAATAATTTCTAAAAAGTAAAATGATAAGCATAACCAAAGACAATATATTAAACTACATGTCTATATCTAGCTTAGTCTCAAGACATTTAAAATTGTAAAAAATAAATTAACTCACAAGTAATTTTAATTGACCAATAACAATAAGACTTACTAGAGGTCCAAAAAAAGAGAAAGTGTTGATTGGAGCATCATCAGAGACAAAGTATGCCTGACCAGCCTGTAATATCAAAATAAATCAAATATATTTTTTTTCTTCTGTTTTAAAATCACAACAGTACTGTCCAAGTTAAGTCTGTACTTAAAAATTTGTGAACGCAAACATTTTGATAAGTGTAAAACCAAAATGAATAAAAGTACTATAGTAATCTAAGGATTGCTGGCTGCCTGGGTTCAAACCCCATCAGGGACAAGCCGTTGTTTCCTCGAGCAAGACACTACACTCATTGCTTCGTACTGGTTGGTTCCAGGAACAGATTTGAGAGTGTTTCAATAAGCGTATAGCTTCCAACACAATCAAACTAAAATAAATTAGTATAAACTAAACTGAAAAGACTGAAAGAAAATTACACATGTATCTTCAATGTTCATCATCAGCTATGACTTTATGCTTCCTAAGGTCACCAAGTTTATAGCTGTTTCCCATCAAACCTTAAAAATGTAACTCAATAATATTGTTACGACTTTGTTTATATTTTTTCAAGCAATGCAACCTTTGTAACCCTTTATTATATGTATATTCAAATAATAAACATATTCAAATTAGTCATTAATAGCAACAGGTTCACAACAACATATGAAATCAGACAAATCTTGCTATGAGTCTCGGTATATCCATTAAATTCATACTTGAAGCAATGTCATTTTAAGACCTTCACATGCCATAGGTACCGTTTTATGATACAAGTTACATGTGAACAAAAAAAGTGTTATGTAAACCTGGGAAATATAATATAATTACATGTACAGCATTGCAATGCATACATAGTCATGTATATTATAACATCTAAAAACAAGTTTATAAATTGTTCTTATAGTGTACCAAACAATATACAGTGTAACAAGTATTGAGCTTACAGCAATACAGTTTTTATCTTCTGTTAGACCTCTCCCTGCTAGTTCATGAGCTTGAGCTAAATTTTCTACATGTAAAAAATCCTGTAATGTATCTGTCTCGTATATAATACTGAATAATCCTTTCTCTATATAATCCTGAAACAATGAAAACAACATTACAAAACAATTAGTATCAAATTTATACATTTCAACAATAGGAATACATTTGGTATTTTGCTGGTCTGTAAATAATTCTATTTTTATTTGTTATCAACACATAGAGCATTTCAAAGCATGATTTTTAGTCTACTAGCATTAAAGTATGTGGAAATGGCACAGTAAAATTAATATTATTTATCATAAGTTTTATATCGTACAAACCTTTTTTCCTTAAAAAAATTAACAAACATTAGTGAGTTCTATATGATTATATCTATGTTGGGTTTACGCTGCATCAATACAATATAGATCATATGGCAACTTTTCAGTTTCACTGGTGGAGGAAGACCTCGAGTGCGCTGGAGTAGAACCCATGACGTTCCGTAAGCTAACTGGGGAGCTTCCTCACATGAAAAAATCCCAAGTCCCTATGGGGATTCGAACCCACAACAGTGTTAAACTAAATGTATTTCAAACCAGAGACAGATATTCATAAGGCATAATAGTTATAGTACGATTTTTTTTTACCAATTTGTAAATGTTCTCTTGTTATCGACTGACCTACTTAACTGTATAAAATGCATTTGTTGGGGAAAAAAAATCTTTAAAACAAAATTTTAAAAATCTCTAATTGTTATAAAGTATAAACTGGTCACTATTGGCTTGAACTATATTCCTTTTATCTCAGGCATGACAGGTACTGGAAAAGGATTCCTCGAATTTATCTCTTACACTACAACATATATCATCAATAATCACCATATAAATTAATCACTGACCACTATTCTAGGTATATGTCTTTGTTCACCAGGTCCATATACTGCAGCTAGTCGTAAGGCACATGTATGAAGTGTTTTCCCACCATCTGTTACACTGGTGTTGGCAGATAACACTTTCTGCTCAGCTATACTTTTTGTTCTAGAATAATGATCTGGTTGCTGGAAAAAATTTAGCATAAAATCTTGAAAATGAAGTTAACAGAAGGAATAATACAAACATGTTTTTCTTTTTATTTTGTTGAATGTCTAGTTTAACAGTTTTTTGATCAAGTATAAAATTCAAGTCTAAAAAGGGATCTGGTTAGTTAAAAACATACAAAAGTATTCTTTTTGAAATTTGTTACATAACATTAACGAACAAAAGTCATTAATACGAAAATATATCAGCTGCAAAGAGGAAAATTATAAATCAGCAAAATCATGTCTGTAGAAAGTCGATCACCTTGTTGAGGGGTAGGTATGGAAGACTTTCATCACCATTTATAATTGTCTGACCACCAAATATAACATTATATGTGCTTGTATATACCAGCCTTGTCACATCGTTAGCTATACAAGCTGAAATTATTCAATCATAACATACTTTATAATATACTTTATAATTCATGTCATTATTTTATATCATTAACAAGAACTGTCGGAGGACAGTAACGCTTGACTATTCGAAAAGTTGTCACAAGGGTGTTTCATTGAGTATAATAATGCTTACCTATATGAATACATAAAATTGTCCGAAAAGGTACAAACCCTTCAGTAGTTGTGGAGATACCGTCTAACAAGCAAAAATTTACCTAGAATTTCTAAGTCAACTAGAAATGTGTCCATAGGACACGGATGCCCCCACACGCCACTGTTCTGTCAATCTTATGACTCTAGGTCAAATATTTTTCGGACTACATGTGCCACAAGTTGAAAACTAAAAATCAACAAAGGGCCACAATTCTGTTAAATTTGGTCGCAGCAAAAATTCCTTCCTTAACTGCCATCTACACATTAAGGTTGTTAATCCCAGGAAGTTTAAGCAAAATCTGCCATCCGGTTTAAGAGGAGTTGCGTTCACAAAATTTCTACACAGTATATTGAAAAAATCAACAAAGGGCCATAATTCTGTTAAATTTGGTTGCAGCAAAAATTCCTTCCTTTACTGCCATCTACACATTAAGGTTGTTCATCCCTGGAAGTTTAAGCAAAATCTGCCATCCTGTTTAAGAGGAGTTGCATTCACAAAATTTCTACATAGTATATAGTGAAAAAATCAACAAAGGGCCATAATTCTGAAAAATTTGGTCGCAGCGAAAATTCCTTCCTTTACTACCATCTACAACTTAAGGTTGTTCATCCCTGTAAGTTGAAGAAAAATCTGCCATCCGGTTTAAGAGGAGTTGCATTCACAAAATTTCTACATAGTATATAGTGAACAAGAGCTGTCAGAAGGACAGCGCGCTCGACTTTTTTAGTGCTTGCCTATAAAACAAAACTTTGACAGTTAAGGGCACACAAGACTTTAACTAGGAATTTCTTAGTACAAATCAAGAAACATTTTCACAGAGTTATCTTCTCTTGCTTACAGATAGGTCTCATGATGGCACATAAGAACTCCAACTTCCAAAGTAATATCTCAAATGTTTAAGTCAACAAGTGGACAAGAATGAAAATCTTAACTGAGTTTCTAAGTCAAAAAGGGCCATAATTCAAATAAAATCCTTAACAGAATTACCTTCTCCTGCCCATGTTTTGGGACCATGATGGTAAACAAGTATTCCAACTTTCAAATTAATATCTCAAACAGTTCAGTCAAAAAGTGGACTGGTACTAAAAACTTAACCAAGATTCTAAGTCGATAAAAGGCCTTAATTTTTAAAACAAATCCTTGACAGAGTTACCTTCTCTTGCGTACAGATGGGGGTAATGATGTGAAATAGCATTAAAAGTTTCAAAGCAATATCTCAAAGGGTTAAGGCAATAAGTGGATTTTACCCATATTCAATGTATTTTCTAAGTCAAAAAGGGGCATAATTCTGTCAAAAACCTTGACAGAGTTATGTCCTCTTGTCTGTTGATGAAGGTCGTGATGGTAAACAAGTATGGTCAGTTTCAAAGCAATATCTCCAATGGTTTTGAAATAAAGTGAGGTGGTACAAAAAACTTAACCAAGCTCAATACACTTTCTAAGTCAAAAAAGGGCCATAATTCTGTCAAAAACCTTGACAGAGTTATGTACTCTTGTCTGTAGATGGAGGTTATGATGGTGAACAAGTATGGTAAGGTTCAAAGCCATACTTGTAATACTTCTGAAATAAAGTGGGGTGGTACGAAAAACTTAACCAAGGTGTGACGCCAACGCTAACGCCGACGCCGACGCCGGGGCGAGTAGGATAGCTCCCCTTTTCATAGAAAAGTCGAGCTAAAAAATCAACAAAGGGCCATAATTCTGTTAAATTTGGTCGCAGCGAAAATTCCTTCCTTTACTACCATCTACACATTAAGGTTGTTCATCCCTGTAAGTTTAAGCAAAATCTGCCATCCGGTTTAAGAGGAGTTGCGTTCACAAAATTTCTACATAGTATATAGTGAAAAAATCAACAAAGGGCCATAATTCTGTTAAATTTGGTCGCAGCAAAATTTCCTTCCTTTACTACCATCTACACATTAAGGTTGTTCATCCCTGTAAGTTTAAGCAAAATCTGCCATCCGGTTTAAGAGGAGTTGCATTCACAAAATTTCTACATAGTATCTAGTGAAAAAATCAACAAAGGGCCATAATTCTGTTAAATTTGGTCGCAGCGAAAATTCCTTCCTTTACTACCATCTACACATTAAGGTTGTTCATCCTTGTAAGTTTAAGCAAAATCTGCCATCCGGTTTAAGAGGAGTTGCGTTCACAAGATTTCGGACGTACGGACGGACGGACGGACAAGTGCAACGCTATATGCTCCCACCTTGTGGGGGCATAAAAAAGGGGCATAATTATGTAAAAAAGCAAATCGGAATTATGGGACTTGTGCCATTCATCTTAGATAATCAACAGAAAACAAGTGTGTGAAGTTTCAATCCATTCCCTTCAGTAGTTATGGAGATACCAGCTTACACGCAAAAACTTAACCAAGAATTTCTAAGTCGAAAAAGGGGCATAATTATGTAAAAAAGCAAATCAGAGTTATGGGACTTGTGCCATTCATCTTAGATAATCACAGGGAACAAGTGTGTGAAGTTTCAATCCATTCCCTTCAGTAGTTATGGAGATACCAGCTTACATGCAAAAACTTAACCAAGAATTTCTAAGTCGAAAAAGGGGCATAATTATGTAAAAAAACAAATCAGAGTTATGGGACTTGTGCCATTCATCTTAAATAATCACAGGGAACAAGTGTCTGAAGTTTCAATCCATTCCCTTCAGTAGTTATGGAGATACCAGCTTACACGCAAAAACTTAACCAAGAATTTCTAAGTCGAAAAAGGGGCATAATTATGTAAAAAAACAAATCAGAGTTATGAGACTTGTGCCATTCATCTAAGATAATCACAGGGAACAAGTGTCTGAAGTTTCAATCCATTCCCTTCAGTAGTTATGGAGATACCAGCTTACATGCAAAAACTTAACCAAGAATTTCTAAGTCGGAAAAGGGGCATAATTATGTAAAAAAGCAAATCAGAGTTATGGGACTTGTGCCAATCATATTAGATAATCACAGGGAACAAGTGTGTGAAGTTTCAATTCATTCCCTTCAGTAGTTATGGAGATACCAGCTTACACGCAAAAACTTAACCAAGAAATTTACACGCAAAAACTTAACCAAGAATTTCTAAGTCGAAAAAGGGGCATAATTATGTAAAAAAGCAAATCAGAGTTATGGGACTTGTGCCAATCATCTTAGATAATCACAGGGAACAAGTGTGTGAAGTTTCAATCCATTCCCTTCAGTACTTATGGAGATACCAGCTTACATGCAAAAACTTAACCACAGGGACGCCGACAAATGGGTGACTGCATTAGCTCGATTATTCTGCGAATAGTCGAGCTCAAAATGTAACGCATTTCTCATTGTAAATGATGAATCATTGCTAAATTTTACAGAAGAAATTTTATTTTTTTATTATGCTTAGTATATATTATATACAATATTGTTACTATAAAAAGTGTTGTTTTTTTTGTATTAACTCCTTTTATAGTTGTGTTAATCTTACTTAGATAATTGTTTCTTAAACAATACATACAAACTTATTTCTTGCCAATATAAATTACCTTGTATAACATTTTCTGTGCCACCAACATTAACAGCCTCTATTCTTCTTCTATTTAACTAAATATAGATAAAACATAAATATTTTACCATTTCTTTATGAAACCAAATAATGTGTTTAAAATCAAAATAGTAATCATATTCCAATTTCAATAATTTCTTATAAAAAGTTGCTTGTCTCTGTCACAAAATGAGACAAAGTACATCTAACCTGTTCCCTTCCAGACATTCCATATGATGCCATGTGATAAACACAATCAACATTGGTTAACATTGTCTTTACCATGTCTCTGTTGGTCAGGTCACACTGCAACATATATATAAGTTGTATTATCTATAAATTTTATATAATTATTATTATAACCATGTTTTTATAAATCAAGTGTATCTGTTTATTTTTAGTTTGGCAAACAGGCACTAGAAATACTGTATGATGACTTCAATTTTAATGATAAAGCCAGGAGGAATAACTAATCTACATGTATGTTACCTTCCATGCAATTTTTCAAGCACATGCAGGCACCTTAGATCAACAAGCAATGCAACTTTTCCCCTTTGTAATGAAATACATTCAGATACAGATCAGAACCATCAGAAGTCTTTGTGCAAAATATATTTTAAATCCAAATAATAAGACTTGTCACAGAGACATCAAGTTAATTTTGGGAGGGCAATATCTAAGGGAACAAGACACTTCACCCCTCAAATCATAAGTAACAGTCTGACAGTAGTTTAAAAAAAAAAAAAAAAAAAGTCCCTAAAATGGAGAACTTACAATCATAAACTTCATGTTTTCTTTTAATGTCCAGATTGGATCCCTTACATCAATGAGAATCACTCTATGACCTCTAGCAGCCAGATTCCTACCTAGCCAGAAACCAGCATACCCTCCACCACCAGTAACAAGATGAACTTCTTGTCTCAAATCAGAACCATCTGTACTTTTACTACTTCTCAACACCACCATACCTAAAATATATTAAACAACATGTTATAAGGTGAAAAACACACACCTGCTCTCAAATGTGATGAAAAATAAGACTACCAATAACAATACCAGTATTTTAACCAATGTATATTCACGTCATTCAGGGGTGGTTACATTTATTCCAAGACTGGGACCAATGAAGAGTATCAGTAAAGTTTAAACATAGTTTATTTCAAACAAGTATTCACATTTATAATTTACTGATAAAACTTTACAACAAATGAAATGCATGAAAAAGAATGATTAACAAAAGAGTATTTCTTTATGTCATTAAAGTTAAGTCCTATTTGGCTCTTCTGCTTGTTACGTCAAATATGAGACTTACAATTTTGAGTCTCAGATTAAATTTGTAGTCTCAGATTAAATGAGTATAGTCAAAAACCACATGCAGAGTACGAATTAGTTTAAGGACGGATTGGTATAACGCCCATTGAGTGTTATGTAATTTTAGTTCGACTACCGATTTGTCAATAAAGTATTAAATGCCAGGGAAAAACAACGCAAAGACAAAGAAGTTCATTGGCTGTAGTTCACAAAGGGTTTTATCGTTATCAGTAGTTAAAACTATATAATACTTTCACGTGAGCATGAAAATAGAATTATAATTTGTTCAATTGTTTACTTTCATTTGACAATTGCCGTATGCCAATTTCGCGGATTTTTACGACAATACCGCAAATCTGTGTTTTATTATATCCTTATTAGTTAGGTTGGTTAGGGCTCTTTTGTTCTTCTTTTTCAGTGATATTTTTGTCATGTTGATTTAATTTCCATTTTTATCTTGATTATTTTATGAGTTGTCAACTTTTCTTAATTCCCGAAAAGTGTTCAGCATTGCCTTATATAATAAGTATATATTATTATGTAAGTATATATTAGTCTCCTAGAAATTTTGTCATTGAATCATAAATTTCGGTTATTATTAATAATCTAGTCATATCTTTATTTATTTCATGGGTACAATATAATTGTCACACATTCTCCTATTTCTATGTATATTTTTCATATTTTTCTGTGTTTCCGGTTGTTACATGTTCACAATATGTATCTCATGTTACATGTTAAAAATGTCTAAAAAAAGTAGCAATAGAAGCAGAAGATGGTTCTTGTAATTGGCCAATGAGTATATTTTTAGAACACGTTAACACCTAACATAAAAAGCTTTTGAGAAATAAGAATGAAAGCATTATTGGGGCATAATGGGCCTTTAAAAGGTACCAAACAATAGTCAAAATATTACTGATTACTTAAATATTTTTTAGACATGATTTCGCTTCCTTTCTTCCCCTTGGTATGACGCCTCGTTGACAGGTACAGGGCACCGACAGAAGATTTATAGAACTTGGGACATTGTAAATTTGAGAAAACGGAACCTTAACAAGTATCCTGCAGACCAGCTGCCAATGGCCTGACTGAAGGTGCATGGGCTAGTATAAGTACCAAATCACAGTTTTAAATGCAAATCCTTTGCTTGGCACCACAGCCTTTATCAGAGACGTAAATTACCAGGTCCGTTACAAAATGTGCCTTAAAGGTTGTTTTTTTTTTAATTGCGTTTATTTAAGGTCGCCGCCGGAAAGCCCATATGGGCGACCGTACACTCAAGTCGGGCCATCCTAGAGCGTCCCGCCGAGATTTTTTCGTCGATTTTTTCCAGCTTTATTGGTGGAGGAATACCCCAGGTGCCCCTCCGGGCATTATTTCAGGCACGAGCGGGCACCTGGGTAGAACCACCGACCTTCCGCGTAAGCCAGCTGGATGGCTTCCTCACATGAAAGATTTCGACCCGAGTGAGGATCGAACCTCAGCGGTGAGGGACCTGTTATCTCAAGTCAGCGACCTTAACCACTCGGCCACGGAGGCCCCTGCCTTAAAGGGCTGATTGGGGGTCATTAAGTATAGACAGTCTGTAATTTCGAGTCAATGCACTTAATCCTTAAAGGGATTTAATAATCATGGGTGACTTGACCTATATGGTGGTGTTGTACATGTAGTTTAAGTTGTCATTTATTTATTATTTTGAGTGATCTCAATTACCATTTACAAAGGTGACAATCAATTACAAATCATGCTTTAATAACGGTATGTATCTAGTCATGCATACTGAATCCCATTTGTAGGATACGCATGTAAGTTGTTTTTGATATATTCAGTAATTTCACACGATACACTCGGAAATATCAACAGCATGTAATAAAAAATGTACTCAAAAGTCTTTAGTAGAAATCTTCTAACTTTTGAAAACAGATACAAATTATTAGCTTTTTACATAATCTTGCACCGAAATATATATCTGGCCTACTGTTTTTTTTTCTCTCAAAAAGATAGATATAATCTTCGCTCTTCAACAAATAAAAATCTTGCCCTCTTCAGGCCACAGACAAATTATAACATTTCCATACAAATGGACGCATTTTGGAATACATTTCAAGCTGACATTAAAATACAGAGTAAATTTTTAACATTTTAAAAACGTTAACTGATGGTTAATTTAATAAAGCAATACAGCTTAAATCACTATATGCTAAAACTGATTTTTTTCGTGCTGAACATTACATAGATCTTTACAAAACCATCTTCAATCGTAAGACTTTTGTTAACATTGATTGATAACTGCATGTCTGTATGTAGTTTAATTTCTGATTTTTATAAATAAATACTTCAGAAGAGTGTTTGTTGTAATAGCGGAAAACAGAATCCCTAAAGAAAGCCCAAAATTGTAAAATGTTGCAGGCTCGGTTTGATTGAGTCTGTTCATGGACGGTACTGGAAAGTGCAAGTTACCTTCACGCCCCCTATCACCGGCTTAAGCAGAATTCAACATTTAAACACAAAAATGGTGATTTTTGAATTTAGAAACATCCGCAAATCTATGTGTTCATACGGCAGTTATCATGCAACCTTCAATGTGACACAGTAGTGTCATTCCATCAAAAGCGGCCTATGGTCCCCAAGTAAAAGAATGCGTAAGTTTATTTATATCACAATAAAGTTGTACAATAAAGTTGTTTCAATTTTCAAATGAGAGACCCTGATGGATGTATAAAGATATTGTATACAACTTTAATTTGTACAGAAATTCCGCGTTGGGGAAACATCTATTTCTGACACTCATAACAGACTTTAATTAAAGTCTATGCATGCTTATCCTTATCTTTCCTTTCCAGATTTTTATAAAGTAATAAAAGTTATAAATTCTTTATATTTAAAGAAGGTAGCTTATTATGAAAATACCATAGGCACTTGGTTTCGGGATAAAAAGCCTTTTGAAGGTTTTTTTTTAGTAATATCGGAAAAATGACGAATTTGGAATCGAGACATCTACGTTAAAAAATCGTTACATTCAATCAAATTTGGGTTCTACAAACCCTTCAAAAGGCTTTTTATCCCGAAACCAAGTGCCTAAGGAAAATACATCAAAGATAACGCAGTTATAAAGATTATAACATTTAGTCTTATTCAACAAAAAAGGAAAATTTACTGTACTGTATTCACTATTTTATTTTTAAATACAGAAAACAATCATGTAATTGTTTATTTTAAACTTTAAAAAAAACCTGAAGTTGTTGTTTCTTTTTTTCCTCTTTTTTTACACTTTCCGTGGCTTGTACGTACTTTTCGTTATTAAACTTCTGCAATGTCGTTAACTTTGCCGTCAACTGGTCGTTTATTTATGCGCCATTTTGAACCATGGCAACGAACAAGCTCCTGGTTAAATTTTAAACTATTTTAACTGAATTTGATAGAAAAAACGCAAACATTGATCAGGTAATTTGAAATTTCGTTATATCGATATGATAGCTTTAAAATTGGTTCAATTTTAATGCTCTAACTGTACTCTAAATGCACGAAAAGTTTGCATTTTGACTTTTTTGCAAATCCTATCTAGGATAGAGCCGATTTTGAGATTCATCATTGGTAGATTTTGAAGATAATATAGTTTAAGTCTTTGTAGATGTCAAGTTTTAATTGACTTTAAAGTTTACTAAACAATGTTGATTTGTAATTAAATAAGCATGGTCAGCAAAATCTATTTCTTCCAATTAAGCCTTAAGGCAAAAGAAATTTGTCATCATGCAGTAACAAAGTCGGTGAAGGATATGAAACAGGAAGTCCTATAGACAAAAATTTAAAGTCGATCTCTGTGTTACAATCAATGGCCATTATTTATGATACACAACATAGCAGTATTTGTGTTTTCACACTTTTTTTTCGGGGATTGAAAATTCAACTCGTCCAGTCGTATTATGATAGATCGTCGGGTGTCCTAAATTCATCCCTGTCCTTGAGTCAACACCTTTACTGTGTATGTCAGAAAGTCTCAACAAATGTCAGTTAATAAAGAAAACAGTTGTATATTTTTATACATCAAAGTAATTTAATGTATTTGCAAAATACTTTATCATAGAACGGATCATAAGGAAAAATAGTGTATCAAACTATAAAATGCTTAGGGTAACAAATCATGGCCATCCAAGGATATTACTAGTAGACATTAATGCAGGTCGAGTACAAAATTGTTGTATGCTCATCCAGCAGGACAAAGGGAAAGTTGCTGATGTAATTAAAAAGCTAGAATTCACAAAATCAGTTTAACATCTAACGATGGAAAAGTGGAAACAAAGCCTGTGCTTCAGGCCATGTACAATTTGCGCACCTTACAAAGCTCTGAATGCACTGTTGGATACAGGTGTGACTGGTATATGCCTGACAATACCCTGTAAAGTGCGCAACCAACACATAACCTGTCAAATTTATGGAAAGAAATTTATTATGAGAATTTTTAGCTGTCTTTGGCATCGGCGAAGTTTATCTTGAATGTCGAGGCAAAAATGCAGGACAAGTAGCAAAGCATGCAGGACGAGTAGAAATTTGATTGAGTATTACTATTTGAAGTCCCTGAATGTACTAGTACAAAGGATGAAGAAATAATAGGACCCTTCTTCCTAAACAAGTCTAGTTTCTTTCTACCCTTTGAACTGTCTTTTGAATTCTATACTGACTTTTTGCAAAGTATTTTGAATTGTGTGATATTGTTTATTGTAACCTGTTTTTTCCTTGAGCAATAAATTTTGCAATCATTGCTTAGTACTAGTTGATTCTAAGAATAGATTCTAGAGCGTTTCAAAACGTTTACAGTTTCCAACACATTCAAGCTTCCAACACATTTAAACTAAAATAAATTCTGTAAAAACTAAAGTTAATAACAATGTAAGCATGACAAATACAAGAAGATTGATGATAAATTTTGAGGAAAATCAAAACTAAATGGTTGAGACTAAATCATTCCATTATCTGAATGAACTTTGGCAAATTAATCTATTTTTATATTGAAAATGTGGGCGCAATTTTTTATAGATTGAGCAAAAATTGAGTGGTTAAGGTGTCTGCCTCTCAACCCAGAGATCATGGATTCGAGCCCTACTCGGGTCACGACCATGTTTTCTCATAATGACAAGTATGGCTGGGTTCAGGAAGTGATGATAAATTTTAGAAATTAATACTAAAGTTGCCCAAGAATCATTCATTTCTGCAATAACTTGCAAACTTTTTGAAATTTAAATATTTTTTAAACCAAAAAACGAGCATATTTGCCATTGCGGATGGGTCTAATAGTCAGACCCTGATGGTGACACTATGAAAAAGCCTATAATAAAATTTTCATTTACAATATCCAACTCAATTCAATTAAGATTCACTATTGATAATTGCTTTTATAAGATTTAAAGTGGGATAATATTAGGGACCAATGGTTATTTTGATGAGGATATGGTTAAAATAATTGATGGACAGGATTTAAAGAAGCATATTAAGACAATTGATATTTGATAGCTAAATTTAATATCAGCCAATGACTATTTTTAATATCAGCAGATTTTTTTAATTATTTATTTGTCATTCATATAGTCTGCTGATGTGATATACAGGTTTGAGATCTAATTTAAGTCCCAGCTAGCATGTTAGGTCATATTTGTGTTGTTCAGGCTACATTCCCCTGTTTCTCAAGTTAGTAACCTTTATAACTAATAATAAATATTAATCCCGTATTTTTTTCAGTATTTGTATGATCTAGCAATCTAGTTAATCCTATTATCTTTTCAGGAAAAGTTGATAAAAACCAAACATGTATGACAGAGCACCCCGCGATATATCAAAAGTTGTAGGTAGTACTGCACAAAATGTTGGGCCTGGTTCTTATGATGCAGATGCTCCACCCAAGACCAGGTTTAAAGCAGGTAAATTAGCAAAGATTTAATTTCCTGAAGTTAATTAAGAAAACATAATGTTAGGCTGAGTAAACATAAACATGTGTTTATGTTCATATACAAGTGCCACACTAAATCCTGATTGAAAAGTGTTGTATTGCGATGAGGATATTTTAAAAGTTATCATCACAAAACTCACTGAGAGTACTTGCTTATCATTATGTCTTGAATTTATAAGACAAGGTGCATTATTCTGAAAGATATATTTTTAAAGTTATGCCCCCTTTTAACTAACAGTTTTTGTCAAAATTACCTATTCAGTAGAATGATTTCAAAAACATGAAATAAGGAATAATTGTTTGTTTTGTCAAGGTACAGTTGTAAGGCACGGATCATTATTCTGAAAGCTGTATTTTCTGAGTTATGCCCTTTTTAATCTCTGAGAATTTTCATCAAAATTGCTAATTAAGTAGGATGATTTTTAAAAACATCAAAGTTAACAACATGAAACTTGAAATACTTGATAATTTAAATTATGACAAGGCAAAGTTGAAAGGCAAGGGGCATTATACTGAATTTGAAAGCAACATTTTGAGAAGTTACGTATGCCCCTTTTTTGACTTACAAATATTGGTTTTAATAGTTGTTACCCTTTATAGACAAGCATTATCACCACACGCGGTGCCCTTGTACATTTATAATCACAAACAAGGTCTATGATTGAACATGTATTTGAAATTGTATAGCATTTTAATAATTTTGTTTGAAATTTAAAAAAAACTATTTTATATGTTTTATAGATGGATATGCCCCATTTTTGTCAATGACAAGCAGGGAGACCTTCTTGAACATTACTGACCAGGTGGTGGCTGCCCCAGGGCCAGGTCACTATGACCCAGGATTCGCACAAGATGCTATAAAGGTAAACTCTTTGTTTTAACTCTGCCTCAGAATTTCTTATGCCCTCTATTTCTTATTTCCCTTTGCAAAATAGTAAAATAACTTGTTCAGTGTGATGTTTTGTCTTTTTATAATTAATTTTTGGAATTTCTCTTATGTAATGCATGTACATTGTATGTGGGCCTCCAAAATGCCTTTAATTTTGATTTACAAATGATATTGCAATGTAATGTAGAAATGATTTGACATACTGATTTTTAAGGCTTTAAGGGAAATAACATTATTCATACTTGCTTTTTTTGTAATAATAATTGTTTCCCTTCCTCCTCTGGAGTAACTTATACAATAAATGTATTTGTAGGGAGGAAAAACTCTTGCCAATAAGTCTAAAAGGTTTACAGAACAACCTATTGAAAACCCTGGACCTGGAGCATATAATGTTGAACGTTATACAGAGTTCCGGCAGAGCAGATCTGCTCCACAGATGCAGGACAAAAATAAATCTATGGGGGTAAGTTTAGTGATAAAATTAAATTTATGAAATAAAAACACATAAGATCAAACATGTTATGTCAAATGGTAACAATAAGCTTTCCATCTCACTTCAAAACTACATATACATGTAATGTAAGACATCAAATTTTCAGTTCCTATCTTTTTGTATAGATGTATTTGTCATGCGTAACAGATAGAACGTGATGTTAGTATAAATCTGTAGCATGGCAAATATATAGCATTCTTATTTCTATTTCAAATGCATCAAACATTAAGTAGCAAAGTCTTTTTTGTTCAAGATAATGCAATATCTAATGTGAAGTAAATATTTACTTACCGTATCTGTTACTATTAGATTAAAAAAAATGTGATTTTATGTACCGATAAACCGCCTCTGTGGTTGAGGGGTTAGAGTAGATGACTTCTAATCCAGTTACCTCTCTGGCGTGGGTTCAATCCCGGGGAGATGCTTTGGTAGTTTAGCACAGAGGAAGGTAGTCTAGTACTAGTGTAACTCTCCAGGAGTGATGGTTAGGAAACTACCCGCCTATATGACTGAAATACTGTTGGGCTAGGAAACAAACAAACAATGTACCGATAATGAATATAAGCTACTCTCAGTTTTTCACTGTTATGTTTCCACTTGGTGTGGGGGATAAAGATATGCCACTATCTGTCACACTGTCAATCCCTAGACTGACTAAACAGTGGACTATGGGGGTATCTTATTTTACTACAAAGTCACTATTTCTCTCAATAGTTCAAATGATTTTTCAAATTGCTTTAATAATTAAAGTTAAAATTTATTTGTTTTTTATTGAATTGATGAAATTAAAAAAAAAACAACAAAAGTTCTTGTTATCTGCTATCAACTAAGGATGGGTAATACTTGCAGTAACTGTTTATGCATATATAAAACCAGCCTCCTGACACAGTGCTAGCAGAAGTTTCATTTTAACCACAGATTTTAAAATCAAATTGAGCATGAAAGTTGTAGCATCTTTGTAACATCTGGTTCTGTTATAGTTATATACAGCTGATCTATGCATGGACTGATGGTTTATCAAATAAAATATATATATGAGAAATGGCAATTATTGTACAATATAACCAGTTTTCATTTTTGCTGATTCTGAAATAGGAGAGTATATTTATGAAACAGCAGTATTTCAGTTAACATGAAATCATCTGTACATTACAATGATTACATAATAAGAAAAGAAAATACTTGTAGACTATAACCTGCATTTGTAATTAGGGGTTCCATTATGTTTAATTAAAAGAGGGAAGTTAGATCATTTCAGAAAGAAGGAGAGTATGTAAGTACCAGTCATAGAGAAGCTATTGATATTTGGACCATAATTGCAGACTGTATGTTAATGTAAATCATGCCTATTATGCTAATGACATGACTTCCAAAGATGTCAATAAGATAGTCATGTTACTCTCATTCATGTTATAACAGAAAAACGAAACATTTATTTTCCTAATTTGTAATTATTATGTAATCCAGCTTGTCACCAGCCAGCTGAAATTTCATCGTAAACCTGACGCCCCATCAATCCCCACCCCAGGGCAAGCATATGGGTACGAGGAGTGTGAAGATGGTACATTGAAGAAACAAGACCCACCAGACAGAGATATCTCCCTCGGTCCTGCTTTCTATGGTGTTACACATGTAAGTATAACAAAAAACGTTTAAACAAAGGTGTGACATTTGGTATTGAGTATACTTGAATAGAAATTTACACAAATATACTCAAACTTGGACTGTATACAGTTTATAAAACTGTTGTTCCCTTTGTTTTCCTTGCTGTTTTTATGTTTCAACAACTGAATAATAATAATCATATGATCTTGCATTTTTCTCCAAATAAAGTATAGATGTGGCATTTGCCTTGAATTTCATTAGCATCCATGAATTTTTATTAATATTTTATTATTTTTATTGAGCCTGTAAGCTTGAGAATCTAAGATATATTCTTCTTCAATTTTGTTTCATACAAAATATTTATGATTAATTCCACCTAAATGTATTTTGTATTGAAGTAAATTGTCCTCTTCAATTATACTTATTGCATTTTTAAAGACCACTATGCTGAAATATTAATTCAAACTATTTATATTTTAAGCACTAGCAGCCTAGTTCCAACAATTATGTTCAAGCCCTCAAACTGTATATTCGACCCAGAGTCTATACTGATTAATAAAAATCCTATTATTTAAAACTGGGCATTCAAAATTCAAATTAAGGCGAGTGACTGTTATACAAACTTAGCATTTCCAAAGCTGACCTTTTACCTGAACTTTTATGTGATCAAACTGGTTGAAACAGATGTTAATAAAACGTTTACTATTTAATTTGTTTTCTTTGAAATCTTTGATTTTTCTAATGATTTATCCGTCTAAAGGTTGATAAATGAAATGTCTTACATTGATCTCATTCCATTGGTCCCATTTTATTGCAAATGTTTTCATTTCATCACAAAGACTTCATTACCATACGATCAAATACAAAATTTTCTTTTAATGTCCGTCAGTGATTAATATGGTGGATTATTACGAGGGATTATGTTAATACGGGAGCTGATGAAGCGGTTATTTTTTAAACGTTTTTTTTGTTCCCCTTTTTATATTATTCTCAAGGGGATGAACTAAATTGAGTAACTTGAAAATTCTCATAAAATCTGCATCATGTTTTAGTACCCATATCTTTCCACGAAATTTAATTAGAAAATTAGTAAATTAATTGAAAGCACTTATTCTGTTAACAAGATTGCGTTGAAATGTTTTCCACGGGAATGCGACATTAATTACAATGACTGCGCCAGTATTGAAAGAAAGAAAAAATTATTTCTTTGAAAATGGATCTTAGTTAAGTCTTTATATATATGCAGAACATTTTGCAGGAGCCATGGCAGACATAAATGATATTTTTGAAAATCCCAGAAAAAATATATAAATTATATGGATTTTAAGAGACAGACTACATTATTTTGAGACATGACTTTAAAATGTTTCTGCCTGTAATGTCTTGTATATATACACAAACACATGAATTATTGCTGAAATATCTAATTTTGTTGACAAATGTCTAAAATTTTATGAATAATTTTCTTAGAAAATGGCTGTCAGACAAACATTGTGTGTATATAAAAGGGTTTTAAGAATTAGATCGTAGGAAATCAGTGCATAAATAATGCCATTGTGATGTCAGATAACAAGATGTATAAGCAGGCTATTTCAAGTGCATTGAAAAGAAAATGAAAATTCTATTCACATTTTGTCTGATCAGAGAATTTTACATATCTTATTCCAGTAGCCTATTTGTCAAAGACTCAAAGATATAAAGAATGAAATTTGTCACTTTTATAAAAGCCGGGATCTTCTTTCTTTTTATTTCTTCTTTCATCATGCATCAAAAGTTTTGCAAACATTATAAAGGAACAGAAAACTGCTTTAGACATAACATAAAACTCATTATTTTTGATATGTCTCAATGTGGGAAATGAATATGAATAAAGTCGCAGAACGATTTGAAAAAAAAAGGCCAAGATTACTTTTAGTGTAAATAGGAAACAATTTGCATATCTACACTTAATAAACACACAGTATACATGTACTTACCTTTTATTTTAAGCAGACAAGAAACAGTTCTTGTTTTGTAAGGTTCATTGTCATAAAACAGAGATCTTGTTTTATGACTTTATTGTTTTATATATGTGATATATGTCTTCTGTCAATATGATAACAGTTATTATACCACATGTCTATGTATACATTTAAAACACATCTTTACAGTACAGAAATAGGTGACAGAAACTATCAAATTTGCATAACCCATTTATTAAAGACCTTGGCTGTATTTAATTCAGGAAGAAAGAATTGGTGGGCCTGTTCATTCTTTCTTACCGTATAGACTTGATATACACTCATTTTGTGTTTAATTTGATCAAGAAAATGTTCATTGTATAGTAGAGTGGAATTCCGTAGAATTATGTTAGTTCTTGTAGCTAGGTGTTTTGCAGATTCCTATTCTGGGTTTTTTTAACAAATCTTATTATCTCACCTGACTAGATCATGTATTTTATAGCCTTTTCTTGGTGATAAAGAAAGTCCCTGCATATTTTAGTCCAATTGATAGTTGTTCTTCATTAGAACTCCCTGTATTCATGTCTTGTAATAATGCATGGAATCTTTATCTAATGAATATAGGGGAATATAATATAGAGGGTAAAGGTGAGAAATCATTCATAACCCAGATTTTTTTATAAAGATTTTTTTGTGTTCATCTTGAAGCTACTTATGTTGAAATGTAGATACATTGTTCTGTTTTCATTTACTGTTTCGTAAGCATATTATATTAACAGCAACAAACTTGAAGTAATGATTCCGTGTCGTTTTCTTTTTGGAAGTGACTTTATACACCTGTGCATTTGGTTTAAATTATGACCTTCAATTTATCACCAGTAACATTATGTCTAGAAAGAAAACAATAAATAAACTTGAAATTATTCAAAATCAGCAAGTTTTTGGGAAAAAATTCTATTATAGTGTATTTTCTGATTAAGCAACTCCAAAAATTGTAGGAAAGTGACAATGAATAAGAAAAATCAGAGTTTGAGATTTATGTATTTAGTTTTCACTGACATAATTGATCAAAATGGCCCTTAGCAACTTAGGTATATGAAATGAAATTTGACAACAGTTCTGGCAACAATATTTCTTTCTATTTCAGGATTCAAAACCCAATGAAACTAAGACATCCAAAACATACAAAGGTGTCCATTTTGGTAAACTGACATCTAAAAGATCAGATTTTGTTGGTAAGCCAGGACCCGGGCCTGGTGAGTACGAGCCATATGTAGAGATACCACTTAGAGCTGAGAACATGAATGCTGTGCGGGAAGAATCCCGTAGATATGAAGCTAACATCCCAAGATATCATGATGCTATTGAAAAAGATGTAGAGAAAAAAGTAAGTTTAGATCAGTTATTTAGTTTATACCAATTTATTTTAGTTTGATTGTGTTGGAAGCTATAAGCTTATTGAAACACTCTCGCATCCATACCTGGAACCAACCAGTACTAAACAATGAGTGTAAAGTTTCTTGCTCAGTGAAAGAATGGCTGACCCTTGCCAGGTTTTAACCCACATGGCCAGCAGTCATTAGATTACTAGTCCGAAGTGTTTACCACTCGGCCATGTCGCCACCATCTGTGGATGACGATCAGTTATTTGATAAGTTTTAATTCTTAATATACTGAATTTCTTAAATGGACTTTACTGGCTTTCATTTTTTGAACTGTCCATTGTAAGTTTGGGGATGTCAAGGTGAAAATTTAAAGCTAGTCAGTCAACAGTATCGTGTCAGGTTGAGACTGCACAAACATGCAGACTGGTCTGGCTCCATACTGGTGGCAAATGTTGATCATTTTCAGCTTCAGCAGGTAAAGGTTATGGCACCCTGCAATGTTGTAGCATTTTACACTGTTTCAATGTGTTGTAATGATTGAGAATAGCAATGAATTAGGTATATTTGCTGCTGAAATCTTTACTTTTTCATCCATGGCATGACATAGGAAGTTACAAGATTTGTTGAATTTTCACCAAAATAATGATTGATGTAACATCTTAAATTGATTTTTCCCTTGTGAAATATGCATATTCTTTATGATGTAAAATTTAAGTGATATATTTTGTATTGCAGAATGAAATTAAAGCATGTACATATCTAAATAAATGTATCATTGTAGTTGAAACTTGTTTAGTTCATTTTATGTGATTAAAGTTTCTGCATATAGTCTAGCTCTCTATTTTCATGAATTATTTATATATTCTTTACTTTAGTATAGAGAAAAGAACCTTTTGTTACCAGTAAAAACAAAATGCAGATTCCTTTTGATAAATGCACAATGCAAGCTAATGTGTTAATGTCGTATGAAGGAAACATAAGAATGCTTTCTGGGAGGGAATTACCCTTGTATAGATACTTTCCTCAAATATCTTGTACTGTCTGAATTAAAATATTTGCAAATGTTATAAACATAAAGCAATATTGAGAGGACATGCTTCTGTTGAATTTGAATGATTTCTCAGACAGTTTTTCCCAGTCATTTTCATCTAATGCATTTTACATGTTTAAAATTATTTTATCATTTCTGATACTGTTATAAAATTTTGATCATAAAATCACGAGGTTGAAAACCCCACTTTTCTCTTTTTTATATAGAATTCTGTTTAAACCATGCATTTTCAAAATAATTTTATGATATTTTAAGTATTTTCTTTCTCAAGTGTTACTCTTCAAGATAAATTTCATCACAGCAGGTTGTTAAACAATAAAAAAATATCTGCAGTACAAGAAAAAATATCAAAATTGAACTATAAGGAAGAAATGTCATATCAAAGTCATTTTATCATATTTGTACATTGAATCAAAGGGACCAATAAAAACAAGGTTATTAATATATGAACAAACAAAGATTAGTTACAATGATTGTTTGTATAAAATGTAATCTGTTTCTACCTGGATTTCCGACATGCATGTCAAACATGACCAGGTGCGTGCCCTTGTTTATATTAGCTGTTCAAGTGGGGCACTTGCTGTTGAAACTGAACAGAACATGCCTGTGAAATGTGGAATGTAATCACTGGGGTTCTTTTTTTTCCTAAATAGCTAACATAGAAAAAAAATTAGTCTGGCTTTATGGTTAAACAAGCTATTTATAAAAAAGATTTCTGTTTATTTTAGATGTTTAGAAAATTAGAAAAATGTCATCGATTACTTACAAGATACTGACTTAATTTACAAAATAAATTACAATTTTGTTGCTGCTTTTTGTTAAATGTCAAATATTTATTGTAAAGCTTGCCACAAGTTTCAGACTAAATCAGTGATAGATGGAATTCTTTAATACCAACATGCTCTGTTTGTGCAATGGCTGTTCTTATTAGACTTTGTAACAGTCCATTCCAAACTTTAAAAAAGTCCTTCGTCTACCAATATCAACATACAAAATTTGCACAACCAACAGTAAAGAGCCTGGTCAGACTGGTAGGATGTGTTGGCTGGCCTAGCTCTATAATGGTGACAAAGGCAAATAACTTTCACTTCCAATAACTTACGGCTTAAAAACCTAATTAGACATTTTATTAAAACCTTTTAATTTGTATTTTTATATAATAAAAACAGTACTAGTAATAAAATACATTTTCTTTAACAAAACATGAATACAAAAATAAGTTGACAAACAAATAAAATAGAGTGTCACACATGCTTGTAGTGTTTGTAGAGAATTGATTTACCACAGAAATTGGCATGCAGAACATCTGCAGAGTGTGTAATAAAATTATGATATCATATCAGAGACAAGTGCCCCTACTTACTCATATCAGTCCAGGAAATGGCATCTAATGCATACAAACATACAATAATGTAGATGTTGTAATGCTGTTAATCAAACATGTTTATTTTGGAAGATTACTTTAAATCAGCTGTTATTTATGAGAAATGTGATTTGTTTACCAACTTTTTTCTGATGCTCAAGGAAGTAGATACTGATATGATGTCATTTTCTGCAACTGTCACCAGATGTTACTGGTATTTAAAAGTACAAGATGTGAGTTTTGAATCCCAGATTTAAGTTCAGAAGTCATAATAAGTCAGTCAATCACATGGCAGAATTCTTGGCTCATCCATGTATTAAATTTTGTTCCTTCATAACCATGTGGCAGCATGATGGCAGATTCCTTGAGTTCATCAAAAGCATGAATCCTAACCTGGATAACTTTAATTGCTTTAAATTTTTCTTCTCAGTATAAATGTTCTATCTATCAATTTATAATGTTTTTTTTATAAACTTAGAGAAAGATATATTCAGAATAATGAATTCCACAATGATACTTAAGAAATATAAATGTAGAAGGTGGATCATTTTAATGGTTTATTACATACTTTACAAATATATTAATGTATTTTTCTGTTCTGTATATTTCTAAGATTTTACAGATATTTTATCTAAACTAGTCTCCGAGTGATTTCACGCAGAGTTTGAATGTTCTATTTGCAGCATTGTTTTATCGTAAGCTATCTTTAAGACATAAATATACTGATTTATGTCCTGATAAATTGTTATATATGCAATAAACATAAAAACAGTTAACTCAATAAAAAAAAAAGCCCACAACAGTATGCCATATGAAATTGAAACCTTTTAACTATTTAACAAGTGGAACAATATTTCATGAAGCAATCAACGAATTATGTAAACATTGTCAAACTTCTAACGATCCTTCAACGTAACTTCCAAACATTCGTAATCTGTTTGTAATGCAGTAAGCTCTTTATTTCCTTAATTCGAAACAAATAACGTCTTTTCTCTAGTGTGCTCTTAAGTTTAATGGCTACGTTTAGAATCGAAACAAATGCTTTAGTTTGTTCTTCGTTTAATCACTTGAACTTTTTTTCTCAATATATTATAATCGTTGTTGATATTACGTAATGTCTTAATCGCGATCAATCATCATTGGGCTAATTGTTTTAGTGGTTTAAATCATGCTGTTTATGTGGTCTCGAGATGTTTTTCTTTTCCAATAGATTTGTTTATATCCTGGTAGTTTTAAATCGGTTTGTAAGAACTGTAAAGTGGTGCTTACACCACATGTGTACCAGAAAGTCATGTCAGAGTGGTTCAAACTGGGTGTTCAGCGCGAGACATCGCGAGACATACATCTCCCCCTGGAAAAAAAAAACATGCACATTTATAACTAGGAATTAAACATTTTTTTCCTCATTTATTATAAGATGTTGACTCAGCTGTTAAGAGTGGCCATTGTATTTAAATTCTTTCTGTGTTTTCTTTAAAAATATTCACTTGATGATTATAATAGTATTCCACACGTAAACAAAATGACTAAATTCCTTTTTTTAGTGTTTTCATTATATTCCCTTGTGTAAGGAATTCAGACAGTCCTGAATATAAAAAGAAAGAAAAAAATGACATGGGACAGATTAATTACTAGTTTTATTAAAGAGATCTTTAACAGGAACCGTGTTTGTCATTGAGAAAACTATAAAAATTATGCAAATGTTTGTATTTAATAACAATATTGGGCGACTGTTTGTCAATTCTTCACCTCTGCTATTAACATAATGTTTTTCTTTTGTATTTTTCTTTGAAGATCTGAAGACCAATCTTATAATTATGTAGATGTGGATTTTATTTTACCTCAAAAGATTGATTTAACATCTATTTAATTTTTCAGTTTTTGTTATTGAGTCCATTTATTGCACAATGACAGTACTTATACTTGGTATAGACTGCATATATATTGTATAAATATGTGTGTAGCAATTGATTTGTCTGAGATGGAATAAAATTGCTTTGCCTATTTTCAAGAAATTTTGTGAAAACTTGAGGAAGAATTTATTTTGTTAGAGGTTTAGAAATGTTTTAAACTGTTGTATGTAGTGAATTGCATTGTATTTGTTATTTAGAAATTCAGACCATGACATTGTGTTTGTTTATCTAGACAATACAAGTATAACATTTCTGAATAGGCATTAAATTATGCTGATCAATGAGACAAAATGGTTACTGGTTAACTGATACCTGTTATATTAATTTAGTTTATCTTGTTATTCAGGGTATACCAGGACCGGGTAAATATGATATCAAGGGAAACTTTGACCCTGAACCTCCAAAGGTCAACACAGAAGGTATAGAAGTTGAGCACCCACCATTCATGTCACAAGCAAAGGTAAAGTGGTTATAGTTACTTTATACTTTGATAATGAAAGTGTTCGAACTTACTTTTCCTGAATTAAAGCTGTCCAGGTCAATGATACAGATTCAGTCGGACAAGAAGTTACATTAAACTAACAGTAGCCTAACAATGCTGTACTGCAGATTAAACTTCTGGTATATGGAAAAAGCATTATTTAGTACTCCAGTTGAAAAGTACTACCAGCATGCAATTAAAAAAATGTTAATTATTTTCTGTTTTTAAACATACTAAGACAAATTTAGATTGCAGAACTGAATTGAGTTTTCTAAATAGACACTGGATGCCGTGGGAAACTGAAATTGGCATTTTCTATTTATATATTTTTTTGTTGTTGTAGAGATTTACTCCACTAAAGACACTGCAGCCTTCCCCAGGTAGCTACAATGATCCACGGAATGCCTTTGACAGTCTTAAAAGGGTAACTGGGATGAAGAGAAGCCCCTTTGGACAGACATCTGTGAGGTTTACACCAAACAGGGGTACCAAACATGTACCTGGTAAGAGTCCTCTAGGTTTTGAAACCTCTTATAATTTTAAGATATATCGAAGAGTAAAGATATATTTTATTAACATGTTAATATATGCAATTATCTTACAGAATAAATTTTATCACAAGAGGTGGCAATGATAGTAATTTGTCAGCACTATAGTTCTATATCTTGATAAGTGGTGGCCATATGGTTTCGGTGCTTGTCAGTCCACCCATGGATTGTGGGTTTGCAACATACTTGGGTTTCATCATCATGTGACTCCAGTTCTGGTTAGTTCAAGGAAGCAGGCTTTGTGAGGGATTAATATAAGTTGCAAAAACTTGTTTCATAATCAAGTTTAGATAATTATGTTAAAACTAAACATCTGGGTAGCGTAATTTGATATTTGAGTTTTAAGTATTTTATTGGTGAGATCCTTTTAACTGAACAATGAACGCCTCTGTATAAAAAGCAAGAAAGTATATCACATGATATTAACAGTGCACTTTTAAAAAACAAATGATGAATATGATTAGCATATTTTTATACAACTAATTAACCCTTTTATTAAGACCACATGGAGTTTTTCTCTTTTTTTCTTAAGTGAAATGTAAACACATGAACACTCGAGTGATTTGCTTAATTTTAAGAAAGCATATGCCCCTTCATCATGGTTGACTAGGAGATTATAGTACAGTAGAGTGCACAATTCAAAGTCTTTATTAACACACCATCAAAATGACTGCTTAAATTTGAAGCCCTTCTCCCTCCTCACCATTTTGGTGTGATAAAAAACGTCGGCCCAATGGAAATGAGACCACCATTAAGGGAAACGATTACCATAAATACACATTAGATGAATTGTTGGCGGTAGCTTTTGTTATGATAGTATCGTAAATCAAAGTAAATTAGACAGCAAATTCACATACCAGCCTCATTAATGTGATTTGAAATTATGATAACATTTTCAAAATGATAACATTTGACCATAGTTTCTGGTTATAAATAAACATTATTTACATGAGAAGTACATGTAAGTTATTTATTCATGTTGTTATTATAGCGTTTTGTAAATGATCATTGACTGAGAAAACCAAGATAGGTTGAGATATTTCTCAAATAGTTTACTGTTGACTTTATGATGCTTAACTAAAATGGATGTAAAATTTTAACATTTTCACACATGATTTTTATCATAATTGCTGAAAGTTGAGATTTTTTTTCAGCATCTCCAGTTTGAGTCATTTGAGTCAGAAAGGTTGGAAAGGCATGACTAATTGACCCCTTCATCTCAATCTTTGCATTCAGGCTTTCCTTAATTGAATTTTTACCTGTCCATTGTTATTTCATGGAATTTTAATATAAAAAAAAGTAAAATTTTAACAACTACATCATATATAGTAGTATTGGGCGTGGTCAGACAGCCCAGATAATTTTATACACATTGGCTTGACTCATCAGCCAAATCTTTATCACATTGGTATTCATATTAAAGTTTAGAATTTTAAGCCTATTGCATTCTAATCAAAAATTATGTCTTCCATATGTATATTTTCCCATAACAACATGAGTAAAATAAATCTTTACAATCAAAAAATTTGAAAATAGAATTTGCCTTTCACCACAATGATAAAGTTTTTTGTTTAATTTTAAACATGTGTTGGAGCCTTATCATTTTAATTATTTTATAAAGAGCTACATAATCTGTCTCTCCTGAAATACTTCTTTAATGTGCATTTCAACAGAATTTGATAGCCAAGAAAACAAGTGAATTGATTAACTTTGCCAGACCAAAGTAACAGTTTTTGATGAATGCCAAAACAAAAGTAACTGCCTTTATTCAAAAAAATGAAAAGATTAAGAAAAGAAATTCTTCTGTTTGTTTGTTTTGAATAAATGCCAAGAAACGTTTCGAAACAATTACATAGCATGCTATAATTCTCTTAAGTGAAACCAAATATTCAGAAAATGGGAATCATCTCTCAGAATTAACAACAGAATTGAATACATAAAATGCAGCTACTAAAGTTATTCATCATATCTGAAAACAAAATAGTAAAAAAACATTTTTTAAACATAATTTACTGAACTTTTTATATTATTGTTTCTAGGTTTTGCAAGTTTTATTGACAGTGTAAAATGTACCATGTTTACGCAAGTTAAATCTCGTAAAGATAATCATTAAATTACAGCTTGTTTTTTAAGGTTGATTATTGAATTATATTGTTTGATTTTATTAACCTGTCAATTCCATACTGATTATACGGTCAATGCACAGAATATATTAATATTCGATAAATGTTCGGTAAATTCCGTGAGTGGTACCCAGTAAAATGTGATTAAACTTATCTAGTTTCGATGAATAAGTTACACTGACCGTTATAGCGCAATAGGGTACGTGTACGTGTTTTATCTGAATGTTCAACGTGTTGTAAGATCGAGACAGAGTATGTCCAGTTTTTTTTCTTATTCATAACTATTTTCAACATTTTTGAAGTTATGGTTGTTCCGTTTTTAATATGTTTTGCACTTTTTTGTAAATACTATATTTTTGTATATACCATTGTTATATTATAACTGTTTGTTATAATAGAATTAATTCTGAAAATTCAGTCGGATTAAAATCAATAAATGTAATTTCAGTACCGTAAAATACAATACAAAATGTGACAATTAAGTGTTTCTTAGGTGTTTCATATCCATGTAGAAAATTTTGCAGGCGCTTGACCATTTAATACAAAATTTCTTAAAAATAAAGAAAGAATAAGTATAAAAAGGGGATCGAACCTCGGACCTCTCATGTATTAGGTAATCACTTAGCCGACTGCGCTATTGCGGATGTCACGAGAACCTTTATTAAGCTAGTGGGAGTTATCCAAACGTTATTTATATATGCTCCATATTAATTCTCGTAAAATAAACGGACACAACCGAAGTGGGATCGAATATTTAAATGAGTGCTATAATGTATTCATAATTGACAGGTCAATAAAATCAGACTATATATGTTTTTTTTAGATTTTTCATCAAGTCTGCAGAAATTGAATCTGAGACAAATTTGTAAATCTCTGTAAAGAAAAACAGAGTTGTTACCTAATGTATATTTTAAATACATAATTTGTAGTTTTTTCTCCACCGAATTTCATAGGCAATTTTATTAAAAGAACAGATTATGTATATGAATTTTAAATAAGAAACACTCCTTCCATATTTTTTCGTGAAGTGTTATTTGAAACATGAACGGAAATCTTGCAATAAAGTTTAATTGCTGGGATAAACACGTTCATCTTTAGATAATATTAAAAGGATTAGAGAGTAAATGAGTTTGATAATGTTATTAGCATGCATGGGGACATTTTACCCATAAAAGTAGCGCAATAAAAGGACAGGACAAAAGGAGTGATAGCAAATTTATTCCATATCATCATCTTAGCTAAGTTACAGCACTGATATACTGCCGTTAAAATCTTCCTCGCCCCATGTGCCCGAGGTCGTAAAACGCCTGATGACAATGGCAGGGGATTAGGCTAAATGTGTTCTTTTAAAACGTTACAGCATTTACCAAATGTTAATTTCCTTACTGTGATGAATAGGCTTAACCTTGAAACTTGAAGGGGAAAAAAACATTCCATCTGTGATCTAACCTCTCTGTTAGAACAAATTAGGAATGTAAACAACCCTTTATATCATTTAGATTCATATTTTGAGCTTCATTTTGATTTAGTGTTTCTTAAGAATAGTGACTAGTGTATATAAATTTCTATAGAAATATGCTTCTTTAGTAAGTAACTTATTCTAATCTTTCAAAGATTTAGAACTAATTACAGTTACATAATCATGTAAGAGTTTCCTGCCTCTGTGACAGTTGGTCAGCTTGACCAAGTATCATGTTTTACTTGTGACCTGTTGAAATATATATATATTTAATATTATATATGCTCTTTTAACATATCAATGGAGTGAAGGACTGGTTCTCAGCAGAACAAAGTAAATGTGCCTTTGAACAATTTGTAAAACAATCAGACTACCATTATTTGTTTAGGACATCTGCTCTTAAGGTACCAGCATTTCTCTTCTTTCCTGGAAATAAATCACAAATTTCTTGTCAATTTTATTTTCCATAACTCAAAATCACACTAACATCTGTAGTCTGGCCCCTCACTTTGAATTGAAATTTATTTGTTTGCTCAGCTGAGGCCTTGTCCAAGCAGCTTTTCTCCCTTACAATGTGTCAAAGTCAACTATAGATTATGTTTCAAATCAGCTTAATTTTATGTCCTCACCTCCCCAGGGAAGAGCTTGTTTCCTTTGGGTTCTTTAGAAATCGTTGAGGTGAATAAAAGTTTTAGTAGAGAGTATGATTTAAATCTTATCTCTTGTGAAAAGCAGTTTATCAAATGTGCATGGTTGACAATCTGATTTTCTGCCAGTCTGACCATGAAAGTGGACAATAAGTGGCTACTGTTATCCATAGAACAAAAACTTCATCAATTAATTTGCAGAATTGTTCATGTCAATTTGAAAAAAAGATTGCGATCCCTGAAATGAACAGATAGAATGGTAATTATGTTGCTACTTGTGAATCTTCAAGGTTTTTTTTAAATAATTGTCGTTTCTGAAGAACAATTTTAGGAGAAGATATGGGAGTTTTTTGTGTCAAAAGGCGAAGAAGGAAAAACATGGTAGCTTCAGTTATGTGATACAAATACAGAAATGTTTAATAATTAATCATTCTCCTTTTATAAAAAAAAATATTGCAAAAACATCAGACCCTAAGAATTTATTGGATTTTAATCATAAAGAAATATTTAGTTTTTAGACAGAAATTTAAATTTTTTATGTCTCGAACTTCAGTATTTCTCATAAACAAAATGCTTTTAAAATGCCAATACAAGTTTGCATCAACTATTTAATTATAAAATTTTACTTAACAACTTTTAAATTAAGGAAAGAATTATTATTGTAGTAACTATTGACAAATCTTGATTGGTATTATCTTAACTCCTTGGACACAACTTGCAATAATTGCATTCCATTTTTTACAGCATATGCACAATTATTGTTTATTCTGGCTACAGTGAAGACCTACTGCTGCTTTTGGTGACTTTTACGTTTACTTTTTTGTTTAATTACTAAAAGCAATAGTACACTTTCTGAAATCCAAAACAGGATAAGGTGATGATTCAGAGTCTGTTATGATAGGGATAAAACATTTTCTTATAGAAGATCAAGTCATTTATATAGTTAGTTATATTGCTTGAATCGTTTATATTGTCTTCCAATGTTTACACACATTACTCCTTCAATAAAAATTTGTTAATCAGATTTTATCTTAAATGTACCTAAAGTTCTTTCATCAAAAACAAATTATTTACCATAAAATGTAAACAGCAGCAAACAAACAGTGGCAGTTTCTTGAAAATCGTAAGATAATAAATGGTATGGGTATGGTAATAGCGCTATAGAAAAGGGGAACTGAGGGTTTTTTTTGGTCATAATGAAGTTCTCTGCCTAGATCATAAAAATAATAGAAATCAGTATCGTTCCTTTAATTACACTGTCAGTTGACGGTTTATGACCATTATTAGCATGTCTTTTACATGTAATTATTTTGTCTGATTTGGCATTCCATAGGAATTTGTCATACTGTACTGGACCTCTTGCCCTGTAACTGTCTGTTGATCCTCCTCTTCTTTCTCTTTAGATGCAACAATGTCACTTTAATTGTTCATAAAACATCCGGGCTTTATTGGAAAATGGAACTAAAAAAAAAAGTTATTCTTCACTTGAATCTTCTTCATTTGACTGGCCCCTGTTTTTAAGCACTTATCAAAGGAAACATTGAACAAAATATCTGTCTGCCCATTGAATATCTTATGTAAAACACTTTTTTTTTGTATCAAAAGGTGAATTGTTTCATATGAAGTTGTACAAAATACCTTGATGTGAAAAAAATGTTACCATTTCTTTGATTTCTTTGATTGTAAATATTTAACTGTTTACTTCATTGTATAAATTTCCTGCATATTTTGTAAGACTGGTACTTCAGCTGTTATCAAAGTTATACTTATTGTTGTATCATTTTCTCCATTTGATTATTTTCATTGAATGACTCTGCATTTCCTTGTCTGTTGCTGTGTAGGTCCTGGTTCATACAACATCACAGGCATGGGTTCAGAAAGCATGCGTAAAGCTTACATAGAAAGTACAAGACGAGGTGTGTTTGGTACCACTTCTGTCAGGGTTAACAACATCACCCAGAAAGAAGCTCCGGAATTGCCGGGCCCAAATCATTACCAAGTGAAGGAGAAACCATTCCAGTCTCGCTACCATCATCTTTCATCCACGTTCGCTTCAGTTACGTCGAGATTAAAGGACGATTTTGCCCCAGCTAAGGTAAGAAATATGACTGTAAAGTGAGTGACTGTGAATTACATATGCAAACCATGTCCAGCTGTCAATAAAATAATGTAGATTTAGAAATTTGTGAAAAAAGAAAAAAATAATGATAAAAACTGAGAAAAAGAGGAAAATGTGCAGGTTTCCAATGTATGACCTATGGATTACTGTTCCTTTACTCAATCAACTGAGTTGACATTTTCTTTCTAATTGATGGAAATGTTCTAAAATAATGATTTTAATGTATTTTCTTGAAATGTTTTCTTTACAAAAATGATCATTGTATCATACGAGTCAGTTGAAAATACGTTGAAAAAAAAATAGGGCATCTAGTAAATTAAGTTATATTGTTATACCAAACTGGCACAATAATTCAATGATTATACAAAAAATCAATGTAAAAAGAACATCATAATTTTGTTAACAACAGGCCTTTTCATCTACTTAAACATTCTTTTCAGAGAAAAACTGTGAAATTTCTTAGCTATTCAGCTTAATAAAGATTTATTTTGAACAAAATTTTAGCTTGTAGACAAGCGATATAACTGATGAGATTAGCTTGTAAAATGTTGTACCATTTATCATTGGGACAACGGCATCTTTTCATAAGTGGCGAAAAGTGCTTATCGAGACAGCCGGAAAAAAGAACAAATGCTTCTTTCTTACTTCTTCAAAGGATTTTCTGAGAAACCAATTTTGATTATTTTTTTATTCAGAGAAGATAAATTTGAAATTTTTTCATATCTGTTACTGCGATGGTAGATTTGACAAGAAGAAAAAAAGAAATGCGCGCAATTTCCTTTTCTCATATCGCCAGCAATAATGGCAGATTGACATCAAATGTGCAGACATTTCCCATACAAAGATTGTGCCTCTCTCTTACCATGCTTTTCAACATTGAACTTCATCATATGCTACCCAAAGGAAATTATTGAATAAATTTAATCAAAATTGAATTGTACAAAGAAATTTGTCTTTCCCGATTATGCCAAAGTTGTTTCACCATTGACACTGTTTCCGATGCTGCTTCCATTTCAGCTGTCAAAAAATTGATGTGTTTAATTATCCGTACATTTGCAATTTCTTTCATGTTTTCTTTGGTATTGTCATAAATGGCCTTTCGTGTTTTGTCTTATTCTTGCAGCACAATTCCTATGATTGAGCAAAAGGAAATGTTAGGGTTATTTAGGTTTTTGTTTTCCTTAAATAGGAAATGCCTTAAGATATTCAAATTCTTTTTAAATTTGATACTTTCTAAAGATTATTCCTAGAAAGTTGACGGGTTTATTACTACCGTCATAAGTTTATCCGCAGCGTCTGACACGATCAGTTTCCACTCTAAGACATTGTCATGCTAAAAGACATGCTGTCTTTTCGTTCTCAAATTTATTCTGTTTAAAACAACAAAGTTTCAGTTGAAATTAATATAAATCTCAAAATTTTGACACCTAATTCTTTGCCAGACATTTTATTTTTGATTTTTTACACTTTGTATTGTCATGCAAAATGGTTTCTTGAATTTGCGTTCAAAAGGGGAAACTTTTTTTTAGATTGTTGGGTTTAATAATCCGCAGCCTTAGACGAAAGATAACCTGTAAAAATAAACTGAACTTTTTCATTAAATTGCTGTTTTGATTACAAATATTCAAAACTAGAATAAATAAGTAATATACACACAATGTATAAACACGTATTGTGAATAATATTCATTTGTAAAGTAAAAAAAATTTGAAGAATTCTGACTCTACAGTTAAAGGTTAATTGATTATTTTATTTTGTTAAATATCAGTATGATGTATTAGCAAAATTGGTAAAAGTTATGGCCCTTAAAGGACAAATTTTACCCATTCTTTATTATACTGTTTTTAATGTTACACCATGGTTATTTGCATTAAAACCAATGAAAATTAAAGATGGTAAATTGTCATGAGGGGGCCCTAAAACACAAATGTTTCTCGTGGAATTTTACATTCCGGGAAGTCCTTGCGCAATATGCCGCCTTTTAAATATTGTTAATTTTTAAAATTTTGGGAGATTTCATTACATTATTTCATCAATAGCATTGTCACTGTTTCATCAGGGTGTCACTAAACCATCTCTTTATCGAATCAAAATCGAAATATAAAAAATCTACCGGGACTGAAATATGACAGCGGCTTGGGGCTTCATCCCTCATTCTAGCAACTCTGGTCTTCTGGGACGTTGCAACTTTGCTGATTTTTTCATTGTTAGTGCAATCTGCCCATGCAGCCTGTCTTTCAAAATCTGTAATGTAATATCACACAATGTGTTTGAGATAACAGTTTCTATCTGTATAATTATGGGTCTTTGACAAAAGAGAATTTAAACTGATTGCCAGCACATAGATTAATGTAATCCTGAAAAATACCATGCAACTTATAGAAATTTTACTGATAATTAATTTATTTTAAATTGATGATTTTATTAATTATAAACAATGAGTAATTTATTCCATTATAAAACATATAAAAGATGTCATTAATTCGGATTGCATACACACTTTCGGTATTATTTTCAAAGGCAAAACTTCATGGTCTGGAGTAAATCTTTTTTAGCCAGAAAACATTAAGAAACAATGCAAGCCATTTATATTATTATTTGACATTTAGCCAATATATGTCACAACATCTGTGACATTTCAAATGCAATACAATCTAGTGCAGTGCATCTCGATTGCATAATGCATTTTGCCAACAGTTTAAGGTGTTTCCCTCCATTAGTTAGCTCTTGTAGGGATTTTGCAAGCATTTTTTTAATGGTCAAATCATAGCATCTAATCTATAATGGGTATTTCTGCAATGAAATGTCTTCAGTAGCACAAGACACACATGTACATGTATTATTGCTTGTCCTTGGCCACCAATATACATGTAGAACGAGGCAAGTCTGCACAATTCCATGCCTTCAGATTATACTCTAACCACTATACTATACCTCTGGTTGCTTGATTTTAGAAATTTGAAAGTAAAAAACCTTTAAACTTACAATGGACTGTTCACTATTCAAAGCAAAATAAATCCAAAGCACAAATTCAGTAGGACATGGGTTTTGCATGGCTATTATTGTAACAAGGCAGTATTTTAAGACAAAACATACAAACCAGTTGTAGAAAAATGTTAAAAAAGGTGTCCAAAATTTCTGTAGAGATGTAAATGTACTCTCTTATACAGGATAAAAACTTGACATGTAATTTCCTAATTGGTTGCATAATCGTCCTTCAAATGCATTTCTTGTGAGCATGCTAGGAAAATGTAATTTACTGATTGACTCTCCCCTACATGACTGGAAAGATAATAGTTTGTAATTGGAACAACTATGAAATAAATATGAGTTGGAATCTAGAATTGGTGAAAAAAAACTCTTAACAGTTTGCTCAGATCTGGTTTAGGATGATACATTTGTACAAAACATGGCACAGTTTACAACAATTTCCAGGAGCAATTACTGTCATTGAATAAAATCAAGACACATTGAGTTTTTCTTCCCTCTCTCCTGTTAAAATCACTAAGCAAGTTAATTCTTCAAGTAGCATGATGTTGAGCTTTTAATTCAAACATTGTTTTGTGTGGTTACTTTTTTACTGAATTATTTTGGTGAGACTGTGGCTTTGGAATATCAGCATTGTACATGAATCTTTTAAGACAACTAAAAACGTTTCCGTCCAAGTAAATCTAAAATAGTTTGATAATTTCTGATAAGTTTAGTATAATTATGTTATAGTAATGAATTAAGTTATTCATTATTTGTATCATAATTACTTTTTGATATTATTATGAATTAGTAAATCAGGGGGGACAAAATCAATTGTCTGTTTTTCCGGCCCTATAATTCAGTATTTGCGGGTGTTTTTGTTTTATTAATGTTGCTCATGTTAGGAATAAGAGAGAGAGCAATAAGAACATAATGTTTCACTTTTGCAAGTTTTAAAATCTTTAGACTATAACTTCAGGTTTAATATAGAAATTAGATTATTTTATTTTATTCTTATCTAATTCTTTATAACTTTGAAACAATGATTGAAAATATTTAAATGCATTCAGTGTTTTAAATTAAAATAATTCAAACCAGGAAAGTAATTTAATATTAAAATAAGAAACTTTACATGTAGGTAGAATAAGCACATTACTTTTAGCAATGCACCATTACAGTTAGCAGTTATATGTAGTTTGACCATAAAATACACATAAAAGAGAATCAGGTACTGTATTTCAGGATTTGACGGAATTTATCGAAATCCATTTTTAATTCTACCTAGACATGCTCCGCATCATCGTAATTTCTTCGCCTATAAGTAACAGCTGCTCCTGTATTAATGTCTCTATTCATAAATCTTTTGCACTGCACGCTGCTTTTTCTAATATTTGGTAAAGTGACATTAAAAAATTGCAGAATATTTTTTGCTCGATTTTTCCACTGATAAACTCTTGAGTTTTTCATTCCGCACAAAGTTGCGCCATTAAACGGTTTATTCAGTGACATTTATAGCAGTAAAATTTTTGCCCTCGAATCACCTCTGCCTTCCTCTGCTTAAAGGCAAATAGCTTTTAAGATGTAGCGTAAGAATTTCCTTCATGAATTTATTCTAACAAACCACATTTTATACATGTACATATAATTGCAATAAAACATACATTCAAAGTAAATATTTCATTCATTCGTGAGTTTCTTAAGGTCATTTCTGATTAACAGAGTTTACATTCCATTTGGTCCTTTATAGCCATTTTGAGAAGCAAACATTCTTTCTTGATTAATGCATATAATTTATGTTTTTATCAGAATTTACTTAAATATGTTAATTACCAGTATGCAGTTTATCCATAAATTAAGTTCGATTTTTTAACATGAATTTTTGGCAATAAAAGTTAAGTCTCGGTAGAAATTTCAAGTGTTGATATTCATGGAAAATGTCCCCCTCATCCAAACATTGTGTGAAGGATGAGGGGCATTATTGAAGTAAAGCCGGAGGCTGAGCATGT